CTACCTGGTCAATGGAAGTGTCCTGGCAAACTGTGCTACTGTTATAATAAGGGAAGGTTACTGTATATAGGAAAAACCACAGTTCAGTGGGAGAGGGACCCTTAAGTAACCTGTGAATAGTTTTACTGTGTGAGGAAAAGATCTGTTAGATACTATAGAATTGGTAGGGCATTAGTATGGGCAAGTGGTTAATGAATGCAGTTTTGGTGCCAGGCACATGGACAACCATGGTAGTTGAGGCTGCATAGGATTCATTGTAACACTTTAAAGTTAGAAATGTTGGTGTGCATTTTGATAAAACAATTAAGAAAATCGGATGGATTTTTGTGAGAACTTTACCGTATATATAGCAGGACATTTCCGAGGGGATGAAAGTTTACAATTCCGTTGGTCAATAAACGTGATCGTGAAAAATATGATCTGCAGAAAATGATATGACAAGTGTAAAAATGAACCGCGATATTGAAATACATAACTGTAATGTCACCATTTGTTTAACAAAATACGCTTTAAATTGTTGTTGCACAATATGCTGTTAAAAAGCGTATTTTAAGTTGACTATTTGACACTTTTTATGCCGAGTGTCCTGTATCTGTGCTAAAACACAACAAAGATTTGGTGTTTCACATGTCAAGATTGCTAAATTATAGTGTCTGTAAATTTAATTTTCTATTTTTAGGTCAAAATTACGAAAATTTAAGCCTGCATAAATGACCCATTTTACGGTAGGGTTGTGATATGGTGATGGCCCATTTCAGACTGTTGTGAGGGTTTGGTATGGGCTTAGTAGGGACAGGTGATTAAGAGATCATCTGTAGTTAACTGATACTTATAATGAATGATGATGGGAGGATGGTTGGAATTTTGTGTGGGCCCAGCCCAGATGGGATGTTGGGTGAAGATTTGCTGTAAGCTCCTTTTTGAGATAACAGGTGGTTGCACACATTGTTTTGGTGTTACTGCAATTGTTTAAGAAATTTAATGGAGAGCAGAAAACGTGGGCACTTAAATCATTTAAACTTAACTGTAGGTGATTGTTATACGTGCTGTGTAATTATATCTGTTGGAGGAGATTTACAAACTCTGAGTTAATCATTAAAGCGGCACATCTTTTACCTGGGGAATAATTAACTTGGGACCAAGTGATTATTATATGCTGCACTTTTAGATTTATGAACTCTTAAGATCTTTTGACTTCTGTAGTGAGAGTTTCTCGGACCATCAGTAAGGTAAAAAGGTAATCAGTTAACGAGAATTACAGGGTAATGATGTGATCACCGTTAGGTGGGTCCGTGAACCAAAGCTGGGTTGTAGGGGACATCTGTCTACTTGTGTCCATGAAGGTGTGGACAAACACAGCAATCGTTCAAATCTTCACACTTGATCACGGGTCGTAGAGGCCTTAGTTAGGCGGAAACTTGTGACAATACCTCCGTGTATCTGGACATAATTGTATGGTGGGATTGATAGAGTCACGGTCCCCCCTTTATCAGCCCTGTAAGTAAATGGTGCAGAAATAATTTCAAGTTTTTATCTGTAAGATCTGAAAAATGGAAGAATCGGACAGGGTGATTATAGACAAGGACGTTGAGTAGACATGTCATTATAAACTCGGTCCGCGTTCACTCGGGGTTCCATGTTAGAGATTTCTACTTGTCATGAGAGAACATATCTGATAAACTTGTGTGAACATTGCAAAAACAGATCCGAAGTTTGCTGAAGTTAATGTATATGTAAGAAATGCCTTTCGATATGTAAGTTGCTGTAATTCAACAGTTCCCTAGCTAGTATACAACAGTATCTGATGTTAATTGTTTCGTTTTTACGTTTTAACCCAAAATAAATCTTTATCTTTACTTTTTGTGATGCACTGCACGGATAAGTGGCATGAATTGCTCAATAAACAGATTTTGCCCTGACTCATCAGAACTGAAACCGAGCGGTGCCCGACGTATAACTTGATATTACTCTATCAGCCAAATTTTTGTTAGTAACATTTTATTTACACACCTTCTTTTGGCTTTAAATGCGGGAGGTATTTTTATTTCTCTTTGATTTCAACTATTTAAATATGTATAAAATTTAATTCAAGCATCTATATAAAATTTGTGTCCGTTACGTTTGTCTGGTATCTGTATCATGAAGTGTCATTCGATTAGCATTATCTCCCTTGTTTTTATATTCCTCACCTCCTTCCAGTCGACAGTAATTAAGTGCCGAGTCATCAGTTTATACATGAACCAGTCAAACATCGTTATCATATCAGTTTTTGTAACTATTTGGACACCACCTTGAAGAGTTTACTGCCCAGTTTACTGCTTCATTTAAAATGTGGCAGCGCTATAATTGTTTTAGTTTTTGTTTATGTTTCAAACTAAGACAAACGTCTTCAACTTTAAGTGGTAGAGTACATGTTTTCTGTTACGTTATAGGAGGGTATTACATTTTTCGATTTTATCGACTGGGTTTGGCCCAATTTTCTTTATAAAAAATAGAATGTTGGCCAGTATATTAATAGAAATAATCATAAAACATATTTTTTAACTCCCAAATATAGGTACGTTGCCAGGCATCCTATCACCCAAATATAGATTCCTTGGCAGAGTTTTTTTTTTTAGGATTATAAGTAATATTTTGCCATGTATAAACCGTAAAATAATATAATCTAGTTCTGATTCTAGACAATCAAATAATCCTGTCAATAAAGTTTTGTTAAAGAACCCTGGCGACTACAGCCGGCGGTATGTGTACCAGTAGATGCAATATATTTATAAGTTTACATGTTTCTATTTGTTTTGCTTACACCTCCAAAAACAAACAGAAGATTTGGACAAACATTTTATATGAAGACAGTAATGACCCGACCAGGATATGCCTAATTTTGATAGAGTATTCCACCACTTTCCTGCTAAATGAAATTAAGCCTTCAAAAGTTCCATAATGTTAAATTTATGTTATTTCTTCTACATTCATACAGAGACAATTAGAGAGGATAAAATCTAAAATCTGGCTTTATACACTTAAATTAAAGGTGTTTGGATTGAATCTCCATGGCAATGTGGGAGCAATTTTTATGAAAAAGTAAATAATGATAAACATACTTGTCACTGCTTAGAGGTAAGCCCTTTCACCCTGTTTGTATCTTTGATAAAGTCCATTGTGGTCTACAGTGGTGAAAGGGTTAATGAGAATGCAAATAACCCCAAGTCAGAGATACCTATGCCAAACAAATTGGAACTCTTCTTTATTGGAGATAAAATAAAGAAAACTGGACCTATCTTCCTTAAGAATTAATTGTTTGACGTATAACTGTTGTGTGTGATTTCCTGTTGCTGTTTCAGTGGAATGGTTACAAATCTTAGTTGTATGTGTACTCTTCTGACACTCGTAAGTGTAAAAATATAAGTACAGTGTATTGAAATCTTGACTGTTTGCCTTAATTAACACAGAAATGTCACCCGTCTGACATAAACACGCGGCTACCTGTAAACGATCTTTCTCTGTCACTGAATTACGATGGCATATTAGACAGCAGATTTCAAACATGAGCGACCAACATTGCATGACAGCACACGCATCATCCCCTAATGGATTCCCATCATGGAGATACTTAGTGTATTGTTTCACCTTCTGTAGAGTAAACCATCTGCCTTTAAAAGAAAACTTGGTATATATTAGCTGTGGGGGGGTTAGACGAAGTTTACTGCACCTGTGATATAACAATCATGCAAGTTGTTCCAGCGGGCAGCTCCGGGTGTGGCCGACCTTCTGCTTTTAAGATTTATGCTTCACCTGTCCGAGTCTCTACTTACCTTTAGTTAATGAGATTCGCAGGTAAATACAGGTGTCATATTAAGTGTCCCACTTTCGAAAGAAACAAATTTTTCATGTAAGTAAAGTAAAAATATTTATCAAGACTCAGTAAACGAAATGGAAGTTGTTTTATTTGTACTTTATAACGTAATGACAATCTGTCACCTGCTCATCAGATGATTAGTACATATTGTTATGTTAACCAATAATTTGTTACCAGGTATATATGTTTACTAACATATCTGTGTCCTAGGTCTACAGTGCAGATCAGCCCCAATTTATGATCGCCTCTTCAAGTCAATTCCAACTGAAGAACTCGGGCCTGTCCACTTAGGTGTGCAGCGTAGTCAAACCTGTGTGTCTAAACTGACCCCTGAATATTCTGACATACTGTCTAATCCAGCATCATGCTGTAATCCCATTTCTACAAAATAATGAAGACCTGAGTATTCCGACATCCAACTTGTGTCCAGTCTACCATATAATGCATAACATACTGTCCAATCTGACCAATTTATTGTGAACCACAGAGTGTCAGATTATTATAGACAGGTTTTTCTGTACAAACATCTGAAAGTGGAAGATCATCATCAAAATGTTACATAAAAACAACTCAAAATGTTTATAAATGATACTGAAACAATTGGTCTTAAAAGGATTATCTGAATGGTCTTCTAGCAGCCTTTTACACTGACGAAGTTAACATGTCAGGTAGTAGACTTAAGGATCCCTGTCCCAGTTCACGTTGGGTTTTTCCTACATGTAAATGCAGTAACCTCCCCTTAACTAACTTTTGGATATAACTGCCGAACATTTGGGCCAGGACACTTCCGTCGCCCAGGTAGCTCAATCGGTAACGGCGATAGTTTACCAGCTTAAATAAAAGTTCATGGTTCAAATCTGGGTATAGTGCTGTTATAGTCAAAACATTGTTGTTAATTATATTTTGCTTATTTCAAATTTGTCATTTCTCATAAAAGTCCTGCAAGCTACGATTTTCTTTTCAGAAATGATATAGCAAAGCTATAGTCATGCCAGAAAAATTAGTTTCCAATTATTAGGTACTGTTTTTGGCAATGGTACAGGGATCCTTAAAGTTCATTGATTTCAATATTTTGATGGTCCGACAAACCAAAACTAACCCTGAGAACATCACGACTAAATATTTGATTGTTTGTATTTTTCAGGGCAATGTAACCAGGGATTCTGTTTCAATGGCGGCCGGTGTCGGGGCGGGTACAGTCAGATGTGTACGTGTCCAAGTGGATTTCAAGGTCCTCGCTGTCAATATGGTAAGTTTTTGTTCAAAATCAGTACTTCTTCCGTTCGAATCAGATCGGGAATTTTCACCACCATATACCCTGATTTTCTGAAGCCTGATACAGACTTTTTCCAAAAAGGGTCTGAATTTTTCTCGTTTCTTATTGGGGAGGTTTCCCTAGATGAATACTGTGAAATCACTTATTTTGGTGTTTTTTTTAATTTCGTTGATTTTGTTGGTAATCTCAATTAAAGATTTTGGTGTTTTGTCAGGTAACCAGGAAATGACGGCCCTACGAAAGTATCTGATTTCACAGTTATCATACTTTTACCAGTGTTCTTAGTATCAGTTTAATGCAGTGCAAGTCATTTTCTGACATAATTGCTTATGCAATTGATACTCTGAAGTCATGTGATATTTGTCATCTCACACTGTCGTGAATCTCAACAACCAATCAAATTGCAGGAAAGTCGTTACTGCACAAAAAGGGTTTACAAACTGTTGCCATAATAATGACATCACAATTTTAATGACATTGCATGGTCTTGATGTCGCAAATAAATGCCATTTTGTACAAAAAGTGAAACATATGTTTATTATGTACATATACCGTATATGTTCTGATAATTATAATGGCCCACCCAGTTGACTGAAACAATTTTTTGTAAAGCTTTGGTTGGACTTGCTGATCGATATCATATACCCCATTTGATGTTGTTATGGTCATAAACTGACCGAAGGGCGGACTAGTGAATTCTATTTAGAAATCCATTAACTGGTCATGAGGTATGCTGAACTTCACTGAAACTACTACAAAGCTGTATATGTTATGGGATTTTATCATCCTCTGTATATGTTTACCGTATTTGTTTAAGAATGCAAGAATTTTTAAAGTTCTGAAAGCCTCATAAAACCAGCTGTATGAAGGAAAGTTGAAAAATATATTCTTTATATATATCACATTTTTTTCTTAATTAAAAATTGAACTTTTTATTAAAATTCGTTTTAGTGACATATCAACTCATATTTACATTAAATATCCATGGCAAGCTTGTATATATATATAACTGCCTATTCTGAATCGACATGAGAGCAGGGATAAATTGGACAAAATTAAAATTTCAACCTTAGTTTAGATTGCTAAATGATCCTCTAAGGCCTGGTGAATTTAAATTCAAATCAAATTCAAAATTCATGAGAAGATATATGTATATTGGAAATTAAATTAAATAAGAAACATAGCAGGCTTAGGTAAGTGTGTGTTTTATCTCGGAATGTCCTGAACTCTGCAAGGAAGAAGTTTAATCTAGACCCTGTAATACTGCCCTAGTAAGCACTTAATTGCTGAGGTATACATTTCTCCTACTATTAAAGGGGCAGCTACAGTATGGCAATGGAGCACATGACCTAAATTGTAGGGTCCCTCAGGTAAACACTGGTGACTCAATATGTTTACACAGTGTTAACTTAAAAAGTACACCAGACGAAACAGACTGAGAGGTATATATCTTGGGGCAGGCGTATATAGGGACGAGAGGAAACGTTGATGTGCACTACCTTTAATCTAGGGGCTTTGTTAGAGAGAAGGGCACTTTCATTAATATTAAAGCTGGCCCAGAGACTGACCTGCACGTGTTTGGGAAAATGGGGAAGAGAAAATAAATGGGGCATTGATGTTTTAACTAGCTGACAGATCAACAGAGTTGCATTATTGCTTGTTTGATTGAAAGATTTTGAATATCAATAAAATGAAGCAATATTTGCTATGTATGTGACATTTAACTTAAGGATCCCCGTACCACTGCCAAAAACTAGTGTACCGAAGTGTCAAAACTGAGCTTTTTGACATGATTAATCATTTCTGAAAAAAAGCTTTACCTTAATTTCATTGCTGGACTATTCTGAGGAACAATAAAGATGAAATAATCAAAATATAATCAACAACAGTGTTTGTGTTAAAAAATAATCAGGGGGGGCTAGACTGGTATTCCTACCCAGGACTTCAGATTGATATATATATATATACTATATCGTTCTAATCGATTGAGCTACCCACAACAGAAGCATCCCAGCTGATTCAACTCTGCTGCAGTTACATTTATGCAAATGGAAGCTAAGGGGAGGTTACTGTATATAGGAAAAACCACAGTGCAGGTGGGACAGGCATCCTTTAAGTATTATTAATTTTTAAATCAAATTCAATTATCATTTGTGAGTTATTTGGTGTTATCTAATGTCATATAATCTTGAGAGTTGAAAAAGGTAAAACCAACTAAGATTTAAGTTTGCGCAAAAATTACAATTTTGTCCCCAATTTTCTTGCTTAAAAAACAATTATAGGAATGTATGCATGGGTAGGAGGTTGTTTCATTACATTTGAAATATAAGAAATTAAAAGTTGTCCATTACCAATTTACAGAGTGGAATCATTATAGGTGTTGCCAACAAAATTCTTGGGATTTTAATCAGAAATTTGTCGAATCGAGGTTGAAATCAACGTCAAAAGGAATGCAGGCGATAACATCTGACTTGGTTATATTGAAACAATCATGATAGGTTTGTGTCTGTAAAACAGTATCTCTTTACAATATGTTAAGAGGTAAATTTTTTAAAGGAAGTGTTTTTCGGAAAGGAGGTGTGGGTTTTTTTTCAGGAAAGAAGGAATCTTAATTTCCTTATCTTATTTACTTTCATTCCTATTGGGTCTTCCTTTGTGTGATAGATATATCCGCGGGCAGGATTTTATAAGATAGTCTAATTTCCTCCATGTCCTTGTGACTCGAAATTGGTTCAGATGTGAAAAAACGTTGTAGGGTGTAAAATAATTTGAATTCAATACCCCTATCCAGCCAGAATTTCTCTTACTACAGACAAAATTTAGATAAAGAAGAATAAAGATGAGATTTTTGAGCCAATAAAAGTTTTTTGAACTGTAATTAATTTACTTGGCTGTGACATGTGTCTGGCATATTTATGAGGGAAAAGAAGAACCTAGATTTTCATAATGAAATCTCGCTTCAGGCTCCATGCCAACTGCCTAAATGGCCATGAAAGAGTGTGCAAAAACCAAGGCTGTTTCTATAAAATATGTTTTCATACTTGAATAATATACGTATGAAAAGATCATCACAGTGCTTAAATTGCTCGGTAGGAGCTTTGTAATGTCTTAATTTCATGCAGCAGGATGGTAATCGTCTTTTATATCCCATATTTATCCAGCCATAAGCCCATGTCTGGTAATAAGCCCACCCATGTACAGTAAGTTGAAATGCTATTTCATTGTCCTGCAATAAGCCCACCCCTTACTTTGCGAAAGAAATTACATATGTTGGCCCCCTGGGCTTATTGCAGGATAAATGTGGTAATATTTATACAATATCATTGTAATATGTTATTTATAAGTATGATATTGTGGTGGGCATTGGTTTGACTTCCAGCAATGAGGCCGACTTAAGCTTGTATCAAATCGTTTTACCATGGTCTCACAAAAATTGTATAATATTGTTTCTGGGAAGTTCTAATGGAAAGTATTGATTGTCTTTGTGTGTAAATTCAGTGTTGTATATTTGTATGTGAAATAGAATAAAATGAAAGTGGTTTGAATGGTTTAAAACATTATAATTGAACGAAATAAGAACACAGGATTATTGTCTTTTACATTGCATGTTTGAGTGTCGAATGTATGTATAAATTCGCTGTGGTAAGATTATAATATTGTGTTTTTAAGATACCTGATGCATTATCACAATGAATGATATGATCTTGTTAATGACATGTAAATCTCAGCAAAAAGCCATCTACAAGTATATAGGAAACTAAATGTATGAGGAAAATTTTAAATAAACAAAAAGATAGATGATGAATTTGATGAAGGACCAAGTCTTTTGACTGTGTCTGCTAGAAAATTTACATAATATATTCAGCTAGACGGCGAACCGTTATACTTTATCATACACATAAAACCTCGGCCTGTGATGGATTGGCCGATTGCGTTTAGGAGCACTGGATTTCCAATATCTCGACCATATAACCACTCCGTTTGGAAATTGATGAACATCATATTTGAGACATTATTATGATCATGTATATTGCTGTCTTTTGAGAGGAGTCAAGATCTGTGATACTAAATAGGTGATCTGGTGTATCACACACTCTTTTACTTTAAAGTATAATGTCAGAGGAAATGAAGAGAAACTTTAAATTTTATAAACTCTAATTAAAATACAAGTGGTTTTGTTTGCCTCTGGACCTGAGTGTGCATTTTGACTGGAAATTATCACATACCAAAAGCATCATTTTATGAAAAAAGTCATATCTGCATTGATTTTGGGAAAATACAGTAGATATAATCAAAGTAAGGGGCCTGTAATGGCCTCAAATTCATCTTCAAAAATCAGTGAGACTACACCACCATCAAAAAAAAGAAAAATCTAAAAGTACATCAACAAATGCATAAATTCTTAAAATTTCATCAAATGAAAACAATATCATGTATAAAGATACTGGAATTTTTGAATTATTTTGAAGTTTTCACAAATACTTACACAGCTGGCATGAATAAAAATCTCATGCCATATATATGTTATGTACCTCATATAGCGTCAATGTTACAAAACTGTTATTTGAGTATAGTGGTGTAAATGATATTTTTATCTGCAGTACGCTGACCGATTACTTAGAACCTTATCTATATATAGATTACTTGATCAATTTACACTGACCGATTAAATTAAAACATGACCAATATTTTCACTTTATCATTCTGCAAGGTGAAAGAAGAGAACTTCGTAAAGATCACTTAACGATAAATCAGAAATATATGGAGATGTTGTCTGAGTAGCATCTACGTATCAAATTAATCCGTCGTCTCTACTCCTCGCTTAAACAAGGGAGATAAATAATGTATTTCCTGTGATTGTCGTCTATTTTACCTGTAATCGTGTGGATACATTCAATACCAGATCGTAATATATGTAAAAATCTGAGGTTGATGACATTACAAATTATGCGATATCGGATTTGTAAGGAGCA